TCGAAAAGGCGCCGTTCTAAAGTGGAGATTAGCCACCTTGCCAGGCAGTTCCGCCGTAGAAAGGCATTTTCAAGTTTAGCTACACCCTTAAGTGAAGCAATCAAGTTGAATTCGATTCTAGTGGCAACAAAGGCCTCCCAGATGAGGGAGTGGGATGGAGGAAAGGACCCTGACAGACTGAGCTTTTTGCTACAACGGACCACTGAATACTTAATTACTTACTGCCAGCTTTGTCAGCCCACCTGGTGCCCCTCTACCGGAGCTCTGTTCAGTTCATCAACGTGGTCTTTAATTTTTTTTGTTTATTATTTGTTTATTTTTGTGTTTGTTCTACACAATCGGAGTGTGTACCCGCCTCATGGGTGGCTTATTAAGGGGCTTGAGGGACATGGCCTGGAGAGAGAGAGAGAGAGAGAGAGAGAGAGACCTGCTTTCATTCACTGGGGCGGATACATGAGCAACTGGGTGGTTATGTTACACATACACCCACAAATGTGTTCACTAGTGTTGTCCTCATTCTGCACACATGCACTGTTGTGTCGCTTTGGAGAACTGTAGTAGAGGTTTCACGTGTTTGTTTTTTGATACTAATTCAATTATCTATTATCTCTTGGTCATTGTATTTTATCTTATTGCCAAAAGAAAGTGTGGTTTTTTGTTTAAGTTTTTTATGCATGATTTTTCACATTGATTGGTAATATTGGTTTAAATTAGATGTGTCATGAGTTTGTTGCATTCTATTTCTCTGTTGAGGGAAAATGCTTTCATTTGTATCCAAACAATCTAAAAGAAATTACTTCAATCAACAACTATATCACTTAATTTTTAAAAAATATAAATGGAATTTTTGTGCCATTTTTTATTTTTATTATTGATGTATTTGCTAAGGTTTACAATATCTTAGTCTATCTAACATAAATTTATACATGTACAGAAAATTTGTTGGCCTTTTCTTTTTTGCTAAATTTTACTATATATATATATATATATATATATATATATTTATTTATTTCCACCACTTATGTTTTTGAGGTTTTTTTTTCTTAGAATTTTTATTGTTTTTCTACTCCTACTTTTTGGAATTTAGCTTCAAATTTTTTAGAATTTTCTTTTGATTGCTTATTAAATTTATTTCATATTTTTTTCTATCACTTTTATTTTAATTTTGATCTTATATATATTTATTTATATTTTATTTTAATTAGAATTTTTTTAAATTTTTTTACCACAACTTTAAATTTTAACTTGTTATATCTTTTGATTCAAATTCACTTTATTTTATTTTATTTATTTATTTATTTATTTATCTTGTTAATTTTTTTATATAATTTATTATTATTTTTTTATTTTTATTTTTTTAATACTTTTAAAATATTTTCTTTAATTTTTACCTCTAATTTGAACATTTTTTTAATTCAGCTTTTATCTAATCTCAAAAAATTTAAATTTTCTTTTGGTTTAACTTATTTTTTTTATAAATTTTGACACTAAAAAATGGATGGCATATAATAAAAGAATTTAGAATATCTTTTATTCTTGTAAAAAAAAATCTTATTAGAATATTTCTACATAGAGTATTAGTTGAAATAGGTATATTGAATATATATATATATATATATATATATATATATATTCAATATACCATTGTTAGTAGTAGGGATTTAAAAAGAGTATATTTTTCTTTTCTTTTTTTGGTAGTAAAGATTATAACATGAATATAGAGAGATTAGTAAGTAAAAACATAATCATGTAAAAAAGAAGACTTAAGACTAGGAAGAAAAGAAAAAGAGAAGAAAGAGATGAAAGTTATTTAGGTGTTGTTTTGCTATAAGAAGATATTGCTAGAGGCTTTATGCAAAGTTTTAATAAATTTAGAAGATATTGTTAGTAGATTTAAGCATTATCTTGATAAGTTGAGGTAATGTCTTAGTAAAAGAAGGTGATATTAGAAGATTTTAGGCACTATTTTTACAAGTTAAGAAGGCGTTATTGGTGGATATTGGCATATTCTTGACAGATTAAGGTGTTGTCCTTGCAAAAGAAGGTATTATTGGTAGTTTAGACACTATTTTGTCAAGTTCAAGTATTATCTAAGTGAGAAATAATATCTTTTAAGATATCTAAATAAAGGTATTGGTCAAGGTATCTATAATAAGATATTAGACATAGTAGCTATAATAATATATCTTGTAGGATATCTATAGTATGGTATTAAATAAGATATCAATAGAGAAGTATCTTTTAAGGTATTTAAAATAAGGTATCCATTATAAGATATTTAATAAAAAATCTAAAGCAAGTAACTTTCAATTTGTTTGTTAAAGAATATCTTTTAGATTACTTACAAGTAAGTAATAGACAAGGTATCTACAACAAAGTATTAGATAAGATAACTACATTAATGTGCCTTTTAAGATATCCAAAGTATAATGTGAAACAAGATAACAAGATATCTTTGAAGGTAACCACAATAAGATATCAAATAAGATATTAAATAAGGTATTTTCAACAAGATATCTATAGCATGGTATCAACAACAAGGTATTAAAAATATATATACATATAATTAGATATTAGATATGATATTTACAAAAAAATATTTATAATAAAGTGTTTGTATGCACATATCAACCACAATATCATACAAGCACATTCTTAGAAGATAGATTGTGTAATAGAAAACTAGTAACAAAAATATGTGCTATTTGGATCTATTGATTGTAAAAAAAAAAAAAAAAAAAAAGGCTTTTGGTCTATTCAAAGTAAATCCTAATTGTGATATTATCTTTGCTTAAACTCTTTTAATTTTTTGCTAATTTTTAAATCTTGTGCTTTATTTATGATTTGATATATATGTGATATATATTGGTATATTAAATTTAATTTTAGAAGTCTATATCTATCCTATTTTTTTAATTTAATATAATCTATTTATTTTTCAAATAATTAATATACAATAGATTTTTTGAAATAAAATTTAATCTTGATGCAAGACTAAAATTACATAAAATATCTACTATATAAGTAAAATCTTCTTCATTTCTTCTAATAGTTTCCTACAATATATACATAGCTATATATATATATAACAAAGATTTATCTTTGTCTTGTTTTCTTACTAATTTCATACCTTTTTAAAATTAAATTGGCATAAAAAAATATAATAAATTATGGTTTATTAAATAAAATTTTATATATTTTTTAAAATAGTTTTTTTAAAAAATATAATTTTTAATCGATAAACTCTAAAAATTCTATGATACTTTATTATATAATTTAGAAAATCATCAATATAAGTAGAATTTTTTTAATATTTTTTAATATTTATTTTTACTATTTATTAAGAGATGTTCTAATAGCAATAGTTTTATCAAGCAATTTACACAAACAACATTTTAAGTGTTTTTGAAGAATTCCACTTTCACTCTATAAGGACCTAATTTTTTTTTGTTGGCCATACCTATGTCTATTTTAAATATTCAATTCAGTTGATACAAATGATTTTGTAAAGAAAAAGATCTTAATTTTGAAGGTCTTTAAATAGATATTTTCTTGCATAAAAGTTGTAGCCTCATTAAATATATATATATATATATATATATATATATATATATTAGTTTTTCTCTAAAAAGTAGACTTATTTTATAGAGCTTTAAAAACTTGGCTACTATATTTTCTTGCTCAAAAATAAATAAAAATAAAAATAGCTAATATTTATTAGAAGATGTGGAATTTATTTTAATGTTTTTAAAAGTATGTTATATTCTAGTGTTTTGTGGATATATTTAATAATAATAATAAAACATTACTTTTGAATTAATAAATAGTGATTTTGTTCTTATAAACAAAGTTACCATCTACATAAAATTTATCAATCTAAACTCTAATTCCTTTGCTCATATTATTCCCTAAGAATTTCTAATAATTTTAAGTTGTAAAAAAATCCTCCAAATTTTAATATGAGTTGTATAAGATCCATGCATTTTCTTCTTTTCTTGCAAAACTTCTACAAAACTTTGATGATTCACTTGCTTAGTGTTTTGTCTCAAACAACAAGTGTGTTAAATAGCCCATTGTTTGCATCTTTCTTTGTATTGATAAAATATGTATGTATATTATCCACCTATAAATGATTTTTTAAAAATACTTTTGAGAATGATCAATAAAATTTTATTATATGTTAAAGATCATTTTTTATTTACAAGATGCTTCTTATAAGAAAATATAAGTATGCAAATCTATTTTGTTCTTATGCCATTTAGATCACATATATATCCTAAGAGAGCTTCTAAACCTGCTAAAATATGCATTTAGCTACAATATTCTACCTTCATCATTACTCCTCCTCTTATAAAGCTCATTTTTTTGGAGTAATAGGATATGATGGCTTGATGTTATTCTGCAGGTATAATAACCAAATTTTAAGATTTTTTAGTGTTATTTTATTTTAAATACTATATGAAATTGTAATTAATTTGACTTCAGACAAAAAAGAAAAAGAAAAAAGAAAAAAAGTGCTCGACTTGCTTATAGATACCTTCTTGAACTTCCACAACATGCGTGGTTAAATTGAGGAACACTTATCTAACCTAAAATCTAAAATTGTTCCATTGTCTTTCGAAGCATTCTCCAGATTATCACACTCCCACACACTCACTACATTTTACTTGCTCATGATTACTCTACTTGATGTGCTACACTAGAGCTGAAAGCTACCATCACTTCCATGCACAAAATAATAAAAACAAACGTATTACGTTACGTGAAGGAATAAGAGTACTTAATGTTTAATCCACTATAAACTGTTTTTCTTAACATTGCAAATCATGCTCATCCGAATCCTACACCTCCATTAAGCATTGCAAGTGACTCGCGGCAGTCGCATGCTGATATCTCTGATTTTTTTATCAAGTATCTAAGCAGCAGCTAAATCGGAGAGTTCATCACTGACCACACTTTGTGAAGCATGTACGCAAATTCATCACAATAGGTTTAGCGCGTATCAAATAGTAACAGCAAATTGAAAAGTATTCAAAAAGGGTTTCAAAATATAATACTCAGGTGGAACCCAGTTTGAGTAATATTACAGAATTGCCATGACCCACTTGGTCAGTGCAGTGCAGTATGTAGTCAAAAAGGATCAGGGCAACAGTTAGAAACATCCGGTCACATGTGAACTTCGTCTTAGATTTCCGTCGATGCGGAAGTACTTCGTGATCATCTGCAACTTGACAACCCCAGCTGTAGAGAAAATAAGGTATTCTGTTTCCTCTTATCCAAGGACCCTCTACAGCTATCAAATACTAAGTTCAATATCCTAATCTGTCTTGGAAGAGCATTTGACAGCAATCCAATTTGAAGACTGTTATGTGGGAAACTGATCAGACACATCGAATAACCAAGGAAAACTGACAGCTATGTAAGACTGCAGTGCAGCAGATTAACTCTATATTTCGCTCTGTATAGACTCATGAAAGTTTCATCGGAATACATTTACACCTAGGTTCTGAGTTCATACCTAGTCAGACTTTCCAACTTCTTCTCGGCTTCAGCAAGCCATGCATTGTATGTTCCTTGCTCAAATAGAACAAAATGCACTTCTAACAAATCTCCAGCAGTCTCTCGAAGTGCCTGGATAGAAACCTTCGCTGCTTCCTCATATGGATACCCATAAATACCACATGAAATTGCTGGAAAAGCAATGTGTTTCACCTTGTCCTTCTTAGCTACACTAATTGATTTTTTGTAAGCCTTGCTCAATACAAAGGCTGGATCTGCTTCCTTGTGATACATTGGTCCCACAGTGTGTATAACCCGAGATACTGGTAACTTGAAACCTGCAAAAATACCACAGATTTGAAGTGAGAACACACCAACTTTGGAAGCTACACCAACGTTGGAAGCTACAGGCTAAAAACCTCCGTCGCTGATAGAACGCTAGCTAGGAAAAGTAATCATAACACAAGCTGCACAATGCAAGTGAAGCAGGATGACTATGGGTATAACGAGTGAATGAAAGATCACAGTATCATATGTAGAATATACAATTCGGAACCTGGAGTGATGACGGCACTTCCAACTGGACATCGGACACCTCTTGAAACCTCTGGAACCTTCATGCAGGCCTCATACAACTTCCTCCCAGCAGCTCTGTGAATTGCTCCATCAACCCCTCCCCCACCAAGCATCATCTCGTTAGCGGCATTTACAATAGCATCGGTCCTACCATCCTTGGACCATTTTGTTATGTCTCCACGGTGAAGGGCCAATGTACACGACCCTGTCAACCGAAACCATTTACCCGGTCGACTTTCTACTTCCATCTTTTTCTCATCAATTTCTTCTTTGTCTCCGTCGCATTCCTTCTCTTTCTCCTCTCGCTCAATTATGTTACCGTCAGCCGCTAGCTCCCCTGGGCAAAAGAATTTTTATCACTTCAATTACCCATTAAGCATAAATATCCCTCCACACAGTTAACGGAGAAATAATTCACAGAGAAAAGATTCCACTTAGTGATACAAATCAACAGTCATCACGTGTGAAACGATCACGATCCATATAAATTATACAACGTTCGAAAACTCAGCACACCTGTCGATGAATATGTGGTCAAACATGCCACAGTTAAGTAATGTGCATAAACTTAAAGAAACATTGAATCGGAGGTCTGATCTTGCACATTTTGGATGAAAGGGATCTAACTATCCAGTTTCCAAATCTGTACAATATCGCTAAGACGTTATCGAAGTTAATATGGCATTGATTGATCACAAAATCCCAACAAGGGCTTTACTGGGCAGCAGAGGCAAGACTTAGGCACCATAGCTATTGATGGGTTATTTTGTTCGCCTGATGAAGTTACAGGTTTTGTTTGAAGTGGGGGTCATGAATGTTAGATGCCTGAGGAGCATCTTCAGAATAAAAAGTAAAATAGCTTCCGTTACAGGCATGGCGTACCACTTCATTCGCATGTCCATTACAACACAACCGTATCTACACACGCCTAACCGAACAATTAGAGGTAGACGGCTAAACCAATCTAGTCCCAAATAACATCCACCAAAATGCCGCTGTCTAGGTTCACCTGTTCCGAAAACAAAAAAACAAAAAATGACTTCACCAAGACTTCTCTTCAGATTATAATGCATCATCCTAACCACAGAAGGTTCTAGACATGTGCAGAGTGCCTGTAATATTACAGCTTCGTCTGTAGAACGTCTCCCACTAAGGGCATCTTGGTACAATGAAGGCTGCAGCTCGGAGAATTGGGTTCACTAAAACTAACGTCAACGAGCAAATGCTTGCTAAGAAGTTAGAAAATCAACGAAATGCGAGGGTGATGAAGATAGGTAGACCACATTGTGGGAAGTGAGATAAGCAGATAAGGAAAATAGAGGTAGAAACCGTGAGCCAAACCAAATTGAAGAATTAGCTAGGAAAGCAACGCACAATAAAAACATGTACATAAAACGAAATGCGTCATGTGACAGTATAAGGATTAGGTAGAATTCTCCAAAGACCACAGACATGACTTCTGAGCCAAATTTCCTCAGTTGATAGTTATATCGGTCCAAGCAACTCCCGGAATTCGAAGAAAAAAGCGTCCCACTAGCCCACTCTGTATCTATCATACACCCGATCATGCACCCGATCGCTGTTCTGCTTCAGACACACACAGCACCCGCGCAGCCTGGGTCTCAATGATGTCAAGCGGTGTTGACAACTCAGAAAACAAAAAAATAAAAACAAAACAAAACAAAAATCTAAAAAAAATCCTACCAACTAGCAGTGTCCCGATGAATCAACGGCATGCAATAACAATGAGTCCAAAAAAAGAGGGAGAAAAACTCTACCAGTTCTAGATTTCAAGGCGCCAACCTCCGGAGGCACGGTCTCGCTCAATCCATCCATTCCCTCTCCCCGCGTCCCACCCTAAAAATACCCCCGCAGCCCAACCAAACAGCCAACACTCTCAACATCGCATCAACCTAACATACCCGCCTCCTCACCCTCCAATTCAAACCACTCCACCATACCCAAAAATTCCTACACAAGCACCTTGAATAGCGAGCGGAGTAACAACACATGAAAAGAGCACCAACGGTAAACCAATTCACCCAATAAACCCTCCTCAAATCCCTTCCCTTTTCAAGCTCACATAACAAGCCCACAAAAATGTGCCAATACGAATACCGAGCCGCATCTCTTCCTCTCCATGCAATCGATAATGACCAACATTTCTCGGTGAGAACGAATGCATACCTCCCCTGGCCGAGGCGGACAGGACCCCAGCGCTTGACGTACCCTGAACGCACGTTCTCTCTCCTTCAAGCGCCGGAAACAGTTCGGCACGTTCAGAAATATGGCTTCGCAAAAAGAACAAAAAAAAACCACTAAGAATTGAAGAATCGATCGGACAGCAGCAACAGCAAACAAGGAATCTGCGATGAGGCGTGAAGGTCGATCCAGGCTCAACGAGGCTTCACTCCAGCCCACGCCGACAACAACGCCGTTTCTAAAACCAGGCGCGAGAGCAGGCGGACGGGCGGGGGTGGGTAGCACAGCCCGGCCCGTGGTGAGTAGGACCTTCCACATAGATTTCACCACGTGCGCAACATGATGCTCTTTCCCGGACGGTAGGATTAGGGGTATCGGGATACAGTGTGAGGTACCGTTCCGTGTGTGCCGTTGGGGATACTCCCCCACCCCGGCACATGTGGCCTTTATTTCCCCATCCAAGACGTCACTAAGCAAAGATGTGTAATGGGAATAATGCAAAGCAACAGGGGGTTTACATAGCAATTTACTGAAAAATTATTCAAATTAAATAGATTGTGCTTGCTCTTGTTCTCATATTGTTGAAATTACATGCAATTTTTTCTTCGGGAACTACTAGGTCAACACCCCGTCATACACACAATATTGTCATATCATGATATGGATAAGAGAATATTGATATGACAATGATATTACTTTATATTTGCTGGGGTGTGTAGTACTTGAGATAACACAATTTTTCATTGTTATATTTATTATCTTATACACTGATAGTTCTGTGAAAAAGCTTCCTAAAACCATATTCAGAAGCCTTTTAATACAAGAATTTTGTTAAGTACTATTTGATATTTTACACCAATGCATAGGCCTAGTTGCCACTACGATGGAATATTAAATTTTTCGATGAGTTTGATTTGGGATATTGTTATATCCAATTATCATTTTGGTAACAGGATTTTGTAACAATAATTATAATTCTTTCTAAAATACATGTAGAAACTAGAATATTAATTTACATTTGTAAACAGATTATAATACTTCACCGTTTATGTATAAAACCTTTAAAAAGTATACCACAAATCCAAACTACTAGGTTTATGTAGTTGGTTTTCATGTTTCTTTCTTTCTGCATTTTAACAGATATATGTATGTGTATATATACACATACATATATCTGTAACATTACAGATAACATTACGTATAGTATATACAGATATGTAATGGTATATGTAAATGTATATATTACATACATACATACATACATACATACATACATGGAAGATTTTGTATTGTTTCTTATAATAGTATTACAATGTTATCACTATTTTTGTCCAAAATAAGTTGACGTTGGTGTAGAGTTTTAAATATTTTTCATTCTAATTCCATTTGATCCTAATATCTTCGTGGTATTGATGGAATGTGTTTGTCTGGTACTTGATTACATTGTTTGCACCATGATTCATTATTATATTTTATGGCATTATACATTAATAAATTTTTTTTACATATTACTCCCTCAGCACAAGTTTTTCAATGTTGGCAGCGAATCAAAACATTAAAATATAATAACAAAAACAAAATTCTGGTTATAAAGCATTTAATAAGTTAGCTTTTTATAAAATATAATGATGATGAATTCAAATCATATAAATTAAAAATTAGGATAATATTAATACATTAGCTCTACAGTTTTGAGATGTTATTCAATCGTTTTTAAAACCAGATATTATAAATCCATTCTCCATGCAAATACACCATAAAAGGACATCTCACATTCAACAACATAAGCATGGACAAAAGAATTGAGGTTTATATTAATGCTTAAAATTTAAGAACAGATATCAAATAACCATAGTGAAGTGCAAAATTTCTTTTCCCGAGGCATTCACCTTGAGGAACCAAAGCTTTGTACTAATAGAAAGGATATGGACTTCCTCTGATTCCAACCTCTTGAGATCAACATAGTTAATGCTATCAGGGACTTCAAGGGGCCTGTTTACGACTTAATGTCCGCACCATGGCTTGCATTATTTTGTAGAACCAGAAGAAATTCATCATTCCCAGGCTGGTGGGCGAAATTAATAGGAAGATGAATCCTACTGTGTGGACCTGCATCGCCTGTTGAAGAAGTAAAAAGGGACTCAGTACTGAGTTTCATGTCAAAACAACTTCAGGGCTTTGTTCATGTTTGGGGCTCCAGTTTTGAATATACAACCTTCTTGTATGATTAATGACGAAAGAATTCGACCTAGAGAACTACAGGATACTCTTCAAAAGAGATGTAAAATGAAAGTTACACAAACCTCCTCACCTGGTCAAAATGAGAGTAAAGATGATAGAAACAGTGTAGAAAGTTGATCACACGAGCTAGCTGCAAACGGATAAAAACATCAGAAATTGGAGCAGCCGGACTTCCAAATGGTAAAAAGAGCGAACTACTTCCAAGAAGGCCGAGGTGTAAAGTCCACCATTCTCCACACGAGATTTTGCCTCACGCAATTCATTAACACCACATCTGCTCTGTAAGAATCACTAAAAGCATAGGCAGACTACATACCAGCCACAAGAAGGCAGTAAATGCTCCATTGTAAAAGTACGCGTCACTGTCCTTAAGGCCCGTCATAGTCAAGTACCTGCCATTCATGGTGTCATAGCGACTGTATAAAGACTACTTGCAAATTTACCTGATGAAACTCGTAAGCACGACTAGATGGCACAACATGTTTGTTCAATGCAGAGTTGCAAAACCCTTTGCATGACACATCGTCTAAGCAAACACACAAAACAAATAGAAGGACAATGCGCAATTATGCCAAAAATGAGGAGAGGCAGTAGTACCAGCGTAGATTAATAAAAGGTGTGGTACATTCTGACAGAAGGACAATATACATGTAGAAGTGGCAATGTCCAGAGTGCACGCCTAAAATACAAGCCAGTGTTGACACCAAATGGTGCAGCAGCTGACAACCACAACCACAACCACAACCAAGTTGAAAAGGGGCAAAACCTCTCATCAGGTGGTAATCATTTTCCAAGATGCTCAAAATCATTTGATAAAAGCAAACTGCATTAACAAAGAACAGCATATTTACTGAAACTCGTGAAGTACAAGTTCAATAAGATGGTGAGAAGAACTCACAAATTCATAGCCTCCTAACATCGGGTAGAAAACAATCATGATTCCCATGTCCGCGATAAAATAACCGCACGAAAACTGCTCATGTAGCCCACAATGACGAATCGAACCATCAAGATGTGTTGAGCAAAAAACGAAAGACTTAGAAAAACAGCGGATATTGTACTATCAATTTTCCTCTTGTAACTCGTGAACATAAAAACCAAGACAATGAGCACCCTACCCCAAGGCCAAACTGTGAGAGTATGGAGCCACGGAACATAATTGGTCCATATGGAGCAGATTCTCGAAATAAGTCGCAGATATACAATAAGTAAAATGAAATGCCAGATGAAATCAAAGCGTGAGCTGTTGAAAAAGCCCTGCAACACAAACAAGAGACCATCATGAAGTTCATGTAAGTTTTCGAGTCTCAACTAGGTCACATGCCTCCTTGGGTGTGCAAATTACTCCAACGTATTAGTTCTAAGTTGATGTACTGAACAGTACCATTCTATCTATTTACAGCCAAGACTACTTGTTCGTCAGTGAAATACATGAAGGCAAGTCTGAATGTTGAAGACAGTTCTCAAATATTGATGGTTCCCAACAATCTAACATGAGGCGTGTTACTGATCTACAATTTCAAAACCAAAGACAGCGTAGAGACCACCAGATTTGACAAAGTATCTGCGAAAAAATTCCAGACACCACGTTTGGCTTGAACTTCTAAATGTAGGGTTATCAAAAAACGAAAGAACTAGATCGATGTGATCTCGTGCAACCATAGGTTCATTAATACCACTCAGTAGACTAGATTAAACTTAAAAACAAGCATTGAGAGTACTCTCACTGATACTTTCGTGTCTAGAATCACCCAATTTCCATGATTACAATCGTAGAAAATCATATATCTGCTTCCGCATGTTCCCTTAGTTTCATATTAATATTTACTCACTGTAGACGTGGCGGAGGCTTCCTAATCATTTCCGGGTAAACCTTCAAGTCAAAGATTATACGATTGGAGGGAAATGTATTTTGCTCTTTAAGTAAAAGTTGACTGACCGTTTTCCAACAGCTTAAGAATAATCAGCACAGTACAATATAATTTCGAAGTAGATAAAATTCAATAGGGACGCGGGCTAAAGCACACCTATTGTCCCATTCAACTTTCTCTGATTTTGTAAGTTTGTTGTAGATTGGGAATATCACTGGACTAAGTGCTTGGGAAATGTCGTAGACCTGAATGCAGCCCAAAATGGACAATAATGGTTAGCTTCCAATGACTACATAAGGTTTGACAGGAACCTAAACTGGAATTCATGGGACTCCATTAAGCTCCTTAATCCTCCAAAGGTGTTTTATTTTATTTTATTTTGACACGTACGGGGTAAACCCATCGAACTTGAGGTATCCTCCAGAGGTTTCAAAAAACAATTTTTTATTGCATAGTGATACATCATTGGCCTTTGATTCAAGGAGAATGTGTGACACTTGTCAAGTTCCAGACGGCGGCAGCGAGAAACATATGAGGAGAAGACATGAGAGAGAATAAGACCAAAAAAGGGTCTGGAAGCGGAGGGTCTGCACAAAAGAAGTACAAATTTTCCAAGGAGTATTGTGATTCCTTCGGAGACAACGAAACACAAATAACTAAAATAAGTGCAATAATTGAAAGTAGGACAGAAACGCACAAGCTTACAAAACACGATGCCTAGGAGCACCGATCCGCACCAGAGTACAGGTGTTCCTACGGAACTCCATTCCCCCAGCAACGCTTCCATGTCATCATGAAATGGAATTGATTTCCTTAGGGTCGTCGAGTTGGGGCTGGTAAAGCCAGGGACTATCATCGTTCTCAATTCTGTTGCCAAATCTGATCTGTTCAAAAGCGTATGTGTAACTTGTTTGAATGAATGCCAATAGAGGCCTTTCCTAGATCTGCACTAGACGTACATATGTGTGCATAAGTGTAAGGTTAGGTCCTGTTCTCAAAGATGCAAAATGCAGGAGCGGTGAAGTTACAACCCTAAAGTAAACCAAGTCTAACAATGCAGTATTAACAATCATTTCGCTTTGAAACTATTGCAATCAACAGCTATGAACCAGCATAGTCATTCATCTAACCACTCAGTAGTAGTATGAAGTCTCAACATGCCTTCCTAACGTAGGAGGCTCTCTCCGCTCTCAAGGCCTGATTACGGAGCTTAATATCAATTGTTTTGAGCAAAGGAAAAGACGCACTCCAAGTAGAATATTATCACGGCGCACCTGCTCCAAAGCTTCTAATTGCTCAATGACTCATCTTAATACTTACAGAATAAGTACTGCCGAAAATGCAATGGCCTGTCCAGCTACCGCTCGGCGCAGGCATAAAGCGGAGATAGTTGGATATGAAAGAATGATTCACTGCTTCAACAGTGCGACTGCGAGGTGAGAGAGGAAAAGGATCTTGACTCGAGCAGCTCCTCCTCCACATTATGGATCCTGGTACGGGCTACGAACAAAATATGACATCGCTAGACCCGGAAATGGATCTACTACAATATCAGTGTATACTCCATACGTAAACTTACATTTCGATGGCCCAGGGGGAAGGACGGGAAGTACACGTCAACATCGCCAACCGAATATACCTGACACAGTTAATGATTGTCGTTGTGTTTTTAATTTTAACTTAACTTTTTGCATTTATCGAAGACACACAATTGATGAGAATGCACTTTCAAACTACGAGGTGCTAAGTGCAGAGGCTCAAAACGATTCCAACATTTCAACGAAAGCCCATTCTCCTGGGGAAGCGAAGCACTGTACTGCAGATGCGAGAGCTGACAACAACCGTGATCATCACAACTAAAATACCCTCACGAGAAGCAACCGCGTTAGCTCCAGCACTACTCCGGAACTAATAAAATATACATAGAAAATATCTTTCTCACCTTCATCTGCACAGCACAAGAGAGTACAACGCTACTCAATCATTCCAAACGAAGATCCAAATCTGGTTCATTGTCAGGATTTGCCACCCCATTGACACTCGCTGCAATGTCCAAGACGAGGTTTATCTATAATACAGTTTAATCGATCCTCCTGTCAGCAGTCTGGTTGCTTAAAAACAAACTTACCAACTCTCAGCCATTGATTGCTGCCACAGCAGCCGCCATAGAAACAAAGCTGGACCCGCCCTTCTGCCACTAATTAAGGATCCCTTTTGGTGTCGCAAGTTGCGATTCGCCTCACATTCATTTGAAAATTGTTACAAGAACGACATATTTTTTTCTCAACTTTTTTACAGCGAGTCTGATCAACCACGGACCTTCCCAACCGCAAGAGCCATTCATCCAGAAATGAAACGAATGCCGTCCTCCATGCAGTGACTTCACAAACACAGCCTCCAACGCAGGGAGAGTTTCGACGAAGAGGGGTAGCTCGCGCGTCAGTGACAAAGACGGCAATTGCGACGTCCAAGACCCCTCGCGCACATTGATGCCGATCTCAGTTTGCACGTGAAGACCGATAGCGCTGCGACGCGGTGATAGGGTCACAGGCAACCTCGTTTTTCCGAGCAAGATAGTCACGGGTACGGGTATCCCGAGTCGGAGAGGCAAGTTATCATCCCATGAATTTGATAGAGTATCGTCAATAAACCATTGCTCTCTTCATAATTAGCACATGGCCTGGGGTGGCAGGGGTGGGTTATTTTTTTAGGTTAAATTTTAATCAGATTTAACATTAAAATCTGGAAATTATATTGATTAAAAAACAAGGTTTAACTTATATGGGTCCTGTTGCAGGCAAGATTCACATAACTATTCATCAGTGTTTGCTAGGATGTTAAATATTGAATGTGACAAGCTTGTCATCTTAGGAAATACTATAGTGGCAATGCCCTATTACTTGTCACCGTGACAACCCTGCACCGTCCCATTTGTAAAAACACTACCGTTTGCCAAAGACTAAGGTGATGAAGTTTTTATCATTGATTTAAGCAAGAAAAGATGTGGTTGCCTATTCCATGTTTTTTTACTATATTTTACAAAAACTACTAATTTAAACATATTAGAATTTATTATTTGCAAACATTACAAAGAAACCATCACCATTTATAAGAAGAGCAAGTATCCCACAACTCATCTTATTGAGATTTGTAAATCTTATAATATGATAGAATAACTCAAAAAATTGGATATTTAAGAAGATCTTTTAAAATGATAGTTAAGTTATGTCAACAAGAAGCATAAAGCTTTTTGATCTCATTCTTCTATGGCTCTTTTGTTTGGAAAGCAAAATTCAATCAACAACTTCATGTTGTCAAAGATCAATTCTACTATTAGAAATTTCTTTGAGAAATATTTGGTAATGCATTATTTTGTAACAAGGAACTTGAGTATTTATTTGAGTATCTATAGTAATTTGTCTCTAGTGGTAAAGAAGTTGTGAAATATTTTAATTCACATTATAGCATGAAAGTTAGGTAGTTCCTATCATAGAAGTCTTATAATATTTGTCTACTTAAAAAGCATACATCAACTAGATAAGAATCATTATAGAAGTACAAATATATATATATATATATATATATATATACTACTTTGAATTGATTTTACATGGTCTTGTGCATAAACAAGATTTTATAATTGTCAATATAATACAAAATGCCAAATGGACCAAAATCAAGAATGTAATGTCTATTAAGAAGTTCAAAGCTCATCCTATCAAGAGTTTCAAAATTCTTTAAATAATTGATCATCTTATTGTTGAGTATCAATGTGATTTATGTTTTTTTTCTAAAATCCTTATTTATTTCCATCAACTACAAAGAGATTTGAATAAGTTATTTAAAGAATGAACATTGATCATGAATGAATTGCTTTATTTAATAGACATAGCTTGTTAAAGATCTTTAACAAGCCATGACTATTAAATAAAGCAATCCATTCATGAAAGTGTACTTATTAAAATTTATATTAATGATAATATTCATATAAATGATACTTAGCAAGAGAAATTGTATATACAAATTATGTCATCTCATTTCAACAATTTGAGTTTGAGAATTTGTTTCAATTTAAACATTTGATTAAAGACATCATTGCAATATTAACTATCCAATGAAGTTGCATGGCTCTCTTATAACAAATTATAATTTAATTATTTACAATAGCAAAATCTAATGTAACCTTCAAAATATTTTTTTTTAACATTTGACTTCATCCACTCAATGTTGGGAAATTTGATGAGTGCCAAAAAGGAGTAGAAACTTGTCTTCATCAAGACAAACCATTATATGTTTATTGAAAGTTTGGTCAACTAGAACAACAACTTGTTTTAGTTGAATGCATAAGATGATAAGTTTAAGAGAATGGAGGCAGAGTAGCTCCAAGCCTCTAATGACAATGATTAGATGCAAAGGCCAAGACTTCCCATGCTCTTGCTTTAGTTGTGCAAAATGGGTTCAAAATCAAGACTTCTTCCACTCTCACCTTCAATTTGTCCTTGAGTAAGAAAGAATGTTGTCATCTTTTGTATCATTCAACAACAAGAATCCTTCATTTGAACAATAACCTTGTCATTTATAGGTTTTACACAGGTTTTTTTTAAATCCAAATTAGATTTATTTAAAATAAATAAATAACAAGAAAAAAAACACGGGTTTATTCCACCTCCACACATGGCATGGAACCAAGTGGAGCACCACCAACTCATGGGAAGGTTGATTGAGGACCTGCTGATATCTGCCCAGGAGCATTCTGCAGGATGAAATTGTGCGGAGAACTGGTGCCCAATAGGAGCAGAGGTGTGAAAGGAAGTTGAGGTGGGAATATGGCCCCCAATGTGTGTGCTCAAAAACAAGGTGAAGAGTTGTGGTCATGGAGCAAGCAGCTCAAGTACGATGCAGACCAGGGAGAGCTCACTGCACTGCACCTCCTTCTCCTCCTCCTCCGCAGCAGTAGCAGCACCCTTGGTGCTGAATCGGTTGCAGGACGTTTAACTGGCGCTGATGATGACTCTATCCCATGTTGGTGTCATGATTTGATGAAACCAGACTTCAGTTGTGAAATTCCACACCCTTGCTCGATGGTAGCTAGCAGGAAGATCACAAATCTCTGATGTTCTAAAAAAATAAACAAATAAGACGAAAGTTAGGTAGCAATGACCAGTAAGGAGGCTATCACCAGACCTGTACCAGGTAGGGATTGGACCTTAAAAGCTTTACAGTTTGGTTCCTCTTGAAGATGACTCAGTGTCGTTTTTCTCTGAGCTGTGCAAGGTAAAAAATTCAATATTCAATATTCAATAATAATGCCTTTCCCGTAAGTAACGAGTCAGAGTTTCATAACGCATCTGCTCCGTTCCAATCACATGCTACTACAGGTGCACTTACAGGTCATTATACCACACTCAACTGCTGATGTCGTTCAATGAAGATTCATAACCTTCACACAATTGGGGTCCTGCTCCCCACCCAAACGTCTCAAGTGGCGGATGTTCGTTTGGGATGTTCATCGACAGAACACCACCCCTGGTAAGAAGGCACCAGGTGTCCTGTCAAAGTGGTCGATTCGACGAAGAAGCACAATCTGCGTAATCAGGCAGCTGGCGCACAGAAGGCGGGCGATGTCAGAGACCTGCTCTGTTTGTGTGTGTGTGTGTGTGAACCCTAAGGACTGTTTGCATGTACTTGACGAGCTGTTCTCAGATCTGAGCTTGTGTCAGCTGCGTGCCGGTTGGAGTAAACATGGAGACAGACAGAGAGAGAATAGATTGCATCGTGAATGTGGACGTCGAGGGCCCATCGCCATTCATTGCTCCTGCTGCAACTAGCTTGCTTTTTCATGCGACGTTCATGTTGTAGAGAACACATGCGAAGAACACTGCCTTGAAGACGTAGGCTTGGTTTCCGAGCCTGAGGCCTGGGGTTCGTGTTTTAGGTTTGAAGTAGGTTCCAGAACGATATTGAAGTCCCAGAGCATGTGGTTGTTGGGTACAGAGCTGCACCTGGAGGTATCTTTCTTCGTCCTCTTTTCTTTTACATCTCCTTTAACTTTTATTGTTTTTAAAACACGGTATTAGGTTAAGACCGTGGTTATGAAGTAGAGCATGTAAATGAGATTTGAAGGGAGGGTGGTGAGGAAAGATAGGAAATGCCAAATGATAAACAGTTATTTATTTTTATTTTATTTTTATTTTTTTTTAACATTGGAGTGGGTTTTCAAAAGTTTGGTTAAACTTGCAAATTGTTGAGAATGTTTAGAAAGACACAAGAGTAATAGTAAGTCATACACACACACGAGTAGTAGTAAGTCATACACACACAAGGGTTTCTAAGGAGAGAGAGCTTCACACACACAAAAATCTATTGATCTGGTTGTGTCTCGTACACAAGAAGAGAGAAGATAAGAGGATGAACAATACTTCTCCAATAGACTCTAAATACTGTAGCTACAATAATTACTATAGTCTACATTAAATATTATGGAGAGCGTCGACTACATTTAATGATCTCAAGACAAACAACATGAAAAATGAAAACGAATGAATAATAGATTTGGCTTTTTGTGACACTGGTTATCAATCGTATAATAAATCTAAGTAGTTGGTTTTTGAGTTGCTCTCTAACAAAGTATAAGAGGTCATAGAAAAACTATTTATTGCATGATATCTAGGTTCCATGTCACTCTGTTTTTTTTTTTTTTTTTTT